ATTTTACCCCCAAAATAACCCTATTCAATTCATTCTCTTAAAATTTCAAAAGATTGACCAAGTTCATCCTCCCAAATATTTCTCTCTCTACATTCTGAATAAGAAGGCTAGAGTTTCAAGTCAAGTCTCAAATTTCACCATTGATTTCATGCTTCTGACATCCAGGTATAATAGTATTCACCTAAGAAGTCCTTTCCTCCATAGGGTTCCTATATTCTCCTATTTTCAGAGGTTGAATCTGCAATGGAAGTTAGGGTTTTAACTCAATATCATGGGTTCTTTTCAATAATGATATTTTTTATTGATTTATGTTTTTATGCATGAATTGAAGAAATTTGCATGTTTCTAGTTGAATCCCCATAAACTCATGTGAAATCCATGTTTTTTAGATTCATCATCAGACAAAGTTTTTGAATCATGAAAGTTGACTTTATGAAGATATGCATGTTCTTTATGAAATTGATGAAAAATAATTTAAGTCTCTTTAAGAGTAAAGCATCCATGTTGTTGATTTTTTTTTGTTGTGAAAGGATTTCTCACGTACACATGATTGTGAAAGGGTTTTAAGAGTTATTCTAATGAAACCTTGCTTAAATTAGCTACTTGATGGAATTTCCATGGATGATAAGGCAAGTGGCGATTATCCATGCCTCTTAATGATGAAGACAAGTTAGGGATAATGACTATTCCGTTGGGGCCGGGATCCTAGTAGCAATCTCCTTATCCCATACCTATGTGCCCATATAGGATGATTGTCTTAGATAGACATTAGCTAGTGGATCCACGTAAGCTAGAAGTTCATGGTATTACCTTGGCAAGTAGGGCACCCCTTTTCAGTATAAGATATACACTGGATTACATGTTAATAGCTCACATTATCTTAATGTCAGTTAAAGGTTAAATCTCCCAAAAAAAATGAGCAAAGGTAACTCCTAGATGTGTCTCACGAATGTTTTAAAGATTTTAGCTAGCATTGATCATGTTTTATTATTTATGTTTCATATTAGTTTTATCTCATGATTTAGCTTGGTCATTGCAGGTCATGAAAAGGTCCTTTTAGCATGATTTCATACTTTTGTGCATTTCTATCATACTTGGTACATCCTTGTACCAATACATACTCTTTCCTACATTTTTAAAAAATATATATGGTCCGACACTCTGATTTTGCATCGCAGTGCTAGAGATCGCCTTAGTAGATATTGATAATTGGTGAGTCCTCATGTTTTGAGGACCGAACTTTTATTTCCTATTGAATTTACTTTTTAGTATTGTATGTGATGTACGGGTTACGTCCCGATCAGTCTTGATGTACTAGATAACTTTAAGAGTGTGTTAGACTTCCGCTATATTTTTATAAACTCTTATGTTTTGTAATTGTCTTTCAAACTCCTAATCACTATTATCTCGTATGATGTATGCTACATTTCCTGTATGGGGTTTCTCGAGGTATTATATGCCATGTTACACCTATGACGTATGGGTCATGACAACGTCCGACCTTGAACCACGCATTAATTTATCAACTAGGCAGTCTTGCCCGATCCGCGGATGTCATTGAGAAGGTATTGGATCATTTTTGGGTGAGGATGACTAGTTGTGAAGGGTTGAATGAGGTTGTTATTGTGAGGTTTGGTAGCCTCACTATGATATTAGAGGCTCGAGAGATGGTCGAGGGTAGTTCAGGTGTGGCTCCTTTGGAAGGTTTTTTGCTACCTTGCGAACAGATATAGACCAACTGCGGTCTACTAATATGTATATGCTATGGGGTGAGGTTCCCCTACCAGATGGACCAGCATCCATGCTACTGAAGTTCCCTAGTAGTAAGCCTACTACGAGTGTGCAACTGAGTAGGTAAAAAGGTGGAGCTGCTACTTATGATGTTGTTTGATGAGTCCACAAATTGGACTCATCTGGGGCTATATTTTAATAGAAATTGTGTCCTCAAATTCTTATTTTACCTCAATATCTGATGAAAACCCTTAAGTTTCAGGTATTTGAAGTTTGAAGGAAAGCATGGATACTACGTCGCAAAAAGGAACGAAGAGGCTGAAAAGAATGAAGAAACGAAGTCCTATGAATCGCCGGGTACACTTGATGAGTCGATGAAGGGTTTTACTTCGCCTTTTCTTCCAGTGTGCTGAGCCCTGAAGGAAAGGATCAAGTCGGCGGAGAAATAGAGTAGTCGACGTATCGCCGAATAGTTCTGCAAAGTAGTACTATGTCGCCCAATGACACAGAGCACGACGATGCTGAAGGTTGGTGCAAGACGGCGACGAACTACACTGAAGGGCGAATCGCCGAGTTGATCGGCGATTCTGACTAATGACGTCGAACGATCCGTTGCAGCACAAATCTGTAATAACTATAAATACTAGTTAGAATTTTATTTTAGGAAGTTGAACAATTATAATTTTCATATAGAATAGTACTTTTTAATATATTTTTTTCTAAGCTTGAGAGGGTTTTGGAGACTTGAAGAAGAAGAGGGTTTCATCTTCTAGATTTGGACTTGGGTCTCTTGGATTATTCATTCATTGCCTGTAACAAGACTTAAATCTTTATACCCATTTGAATGCAAGCTCATTTAGGTATAAATTTCTGTCTTTTGTCCATGTCTAGATAAAACCCCAATTCTTGGGGTGTGATTTAGCAAATATGTGTTGAGATTATTGTTGGGTTTTGCTTGCTGATAGGTTAGATGTATTTTAATGGTGATTTCACCTATCGGTTGTGGTTTAATTTAATGGGTTTGTAGTTGCAAATACAAAACCACCCATGTGTTTTCGGCTTGCGAGAGAGACAGGTCGCGAAACCAAGACCGCTACACTGGTGGCCTAAGGAGTGGGTCGACATGAGGTTCACCCTGAGAGGGTAAGCCCTAGTCCCATATCCTAACACTCAGCTCGAGAGAGTGAGTGGGGTAAGGCATAGGCAGGCCTTCAAGCGGGAAATGGGTGTCCGAGAGGAACCCATTTGAAACGGGGTAAGTTTCCCGAGAGGGAACTTATTTCCAGCTAAAACTTAGCCTAGTCACTATTATCTTGCAAATTTCCTATCAAAAGCATGTACCCAACGATTTATACCAATATATATTGCGGTCACATCCCAAGAATCCCCTCTCATTCATAGATTTCTTTGTTATTTTTACTGTTTTTACTATATTTGTGACAAAACCCCTATTTGATATTTGACACTTTTGTGTCACCCCCTTTAATATACAATGTTTTTTCTTTAATGTCTTAGCTACGACTAGTTAGAACTAATTTTATTTTTCTATTAATTCTCGAAACCACTTCCTTGGGACATGACCCCAACCCTTGGTTGGGTTACTATATTATCGACGATCGTAGACACTCGTACCGTAGGTTAGTGTCGTTGGTCACTATAAGCATCAAAATGGTGTCGCTGCCAGGGAGTGGTTTTACTTGAGAATTTTTAGATTAGTAGAATTTTTGTTCTTCTTAGTTGTAGTCAACTTACCTAATTTTCAGTTTTGTTTTGAGTATTTGTGTTCCACAATAGGACATATGAGTGCAAACGGGGAGAATCGCTGCCAAGCAGGTCACTCAATGGGTGGTGTTTTTCATCGAGACGACATTGATGATGCTAATAGTGTTTATCACCCTGCTGACGTGGGTGAGATGGGTGAAATTTGCATGCCAGAAGCTGACGGAAATGTAATGTTCGAAGTTACCAATGCAACACTCCAACTCATATATTCAAGAGGTTTATTTGGAGGGTTAGAGAATGAAGATCCGCACAAACATGTACGAAGCTTTGTGGAAGTGTGCACTCCTTTATCATTCAAGAACCTATCTCAAGAATCCATACGGTTTCGCTTATTTCCATTATCATTGATTGGGGGAGCTGTTAAATGGTTGGTTGAGCCAAACAACTCCATCAAATCATGGGAGGAGCTGGTTATGGCATTTCATGAAACATTCTTTCCTTCATCAAGAATGATGAAATTGAGAGACGATATTAAGAATTTCAAGCAAAAGGAGGGTGAACCAATTTAGGAGTCATGGACAAGGTTCAAGAGATTTTTGCGTAAGTGCCCAATGCATGGACTACCAGGTGAATTGTTGCTCCAATACTTTTACCGCAATTTGGAATCGATTAATAAAGGGATAGCTGATCAATTGGTGCAACGAGGAATAATGTTACAATCATTTGAAGTAGCCTCATTTCGCCTAGATGGTATGACTAAAGTAAACCAGGCATGGTATACCAAAGATGATCAAGCTTCCCCACTATGCTTCCGAGTAACGCAGGAACAGATCGAAAAAGAAAGGGAAAGGGACGAAAACATCACGAAGATGTTATCTCAAATGGAAATCCTACAAAAACATATGAAAGGGACATGTGGAGTATTTTGAGTTGAGGAGGGTTCTTCTTCCGGTTACTCAAGACCGGGGGAGAATCAAGGTTGGAACTCCAGAAGATACGAGGAGGGTTTCCACCCACACTATAAACTGTGGGGCGGGAATTAAGGTTGGAACTATAATAGGAGTAAAGAACCAAGGAGATATTGGCAAGATTGGGCTGAGCAGGATGATCAGGAGGAGGACCATACTCACTTGAGTGAAAGCCTGAAATCTAAAGGGAGTGCAAGTAGTCCTCGGGTAAATGATTTGTTATTGCGCATACTCGATAAAGCTGAGGGCTCTGATGATTTGCTAAAAGGAATGAAAGATGACTTTTCATTATTGAACAGTAAAGTAAATTCTCATCCTGATGCCATCAAAATGCAGGAAGGTAAATTGAGTCTATTATCAGCTCAATTAACATCCAAAATACCGATGGACTTTATTGAAAGAGAGCTGGATGTAGTTACCCATAATGGTAAGGTGCCAATAGGGGATGTGATGGAAGATGAGGATCCTCAAAAACATAAAGAGAGCCAAGGTGTGGAGGAAAAAGATTTACCTAATTGACAAAACCTTACTAAAGAACCACAGGAGGAAGCAGAGCAACAAGTTCAAGTTCCAAAAGTCATGAATCCTTTACCCAAGTTACCTCCACCATTTCCCCAAAGTTTGAAAAATAAGAATGAAGATGAGAAGTTCAAAAAAAATTTGTTAGTAGTCAAGAGCTTATCAATTAACCTTCTTCTGGTAGAAGCATTGTTGGAAATGTTGCGATACGCCAAATTCATGAAAGAACTGGTTACAAAGAAAAGGAATTTGGACTATGAAACGATTGAGGTGCCCCATAGTTGCAATGCAATTATGACAAATGATTCAATCACTAAGAGAGAAGATCCTGGCGCATTCACAATCCCGTGCACAATTGGCATGCTCCAATTCGCTAAAGCCTTGTGCGATTTAGGAGAAAGCATCAAGTTGATGCCCTATGCAATATACAAGCAACTTGGTTTGGGTAAACAAAAGCAAAACACAATGAGACTCCTTATGGATGATCGATCAATCAAGAACCCAGTGGGGATACACTATGATATATTGGTAAAAGTGGATCGGTTCATCTTTCTGGCTGATTTTGTGATACTAGATTGTGAGATCGATGCTGAAATCCCTATTATTTTGGGAAGGCCATTCTTAGCCACCGAAAGAGCATTGGTGGATGTCGAAAGTGGGAAATTGAAATTCCGCGTGAACGATGATGACGTGACCTTCAATATCTGCAAATCCATGAAACAACCAAGTAATATCCATGTAGTGTCCACTGAGGATGTTATAGACGAGGCAGTGGCAAGTGTTAGCCATTTAATGCGCAAGAATGAAGCCCTTGATGAATCCAAAGTTCAAGGTTACGAGGAAGTGGTAGTTGCTTTATCAGGGTTAGGAGCATATTCAAGGAATCCAATCAAGTTGGATAACGACCTGAAGAATAGAGAAAGTCCTCTTGCAAAGCCATCAACAGAAGAACCACTGAATCTAAAGTTAAAAGCCATACCCTCTCATCTTAAATATGCCTTCTTAGGAGCCAATAATACTTTACCGGTAATTATTGTCGCCGATCTTCTTGAAAGGCAGGTGAAATTGCTCCCTGAAGTACTGCGGAAGCATATAAAAGTTATTAGATGGACAATAGCTGATATAGTAGGAATTTCTCCTGGCATCTGTACTCACAAGATTCGGTTCGACAATGAACGTAAACCTAGTGTGGAACATCAACGGAGATTGAACCCTCCAATGCAAGAGGTGGTGAAAAGGCTTATGCATGAATTGAAGTGATTGCATGATTTAAGTTGATTTCCCATGAACCCATGTATAACCCATGTTTTCTAAGCTATGTTGATATAATGTGGGTCTTGGACTATGAATGATGAATGTACGAAAATATGCATATCTTCTCTTAATGAAATAGATGAAAATGAATTTGAAGATGCACTGACTTTGAAATTATTATGAATGTTATGAATTATTGAAAAGAAAACATGGTCATGAAAGTATGTTTATGACTCAAGAAATTTTATAGATGATATTATCTATATGTTCTATGAAGCTTGTCCACATGACATGAACGACATCTAAATTTGCCTTCAATGCTTTTCGGGCTATTTTTCTAAATTATGTCTTGATTAGTATGGTATCCGAATATTCCATCAATGATTATAGGCCACGATTTCAAAACTATTTCCATTAGTATTAGTAGGGCATCTCTAATATGAAGTGAATGAATCTAAGACTTAAAAGTTGTTATCAGTGAAAGGATTTCTCACACATAGTCTAAGGAGCTATCATATGATAAGGCATGCGGCGACTACCCATGTCTCTTTATGAGAGGATAAGTCAAGATTTATAACTAATCCGTGGGATTTACGCTTAGCATCAAGAGGGTATTGAGATGGAAGCCCTGATGTACTGGTTTGTAGATGCAATCTCTTTATCTCTTACCTATGTGCTCCCATAGGATAACTGTCTAAAGTAGACATTAGCTAGTGGATCCACTTAAGCATAGAAGTTAATGGTTCTACCTTGGAAAGTAGGACAACCTTTTCTGGTGTGGGAGACACCGGGGGATCATGTAATATCTCATATGGACTCTATGTCGGTTAAGACAAATTCCCACAATAATAATGAACTAAGGTTACTTCAAGAAGAATCTCACATGTGTTCAAAGATGATGTTCACTTGCATTGATCATGGTTTTATAACTTATGTTTTCTAACTCTCAAAATACATATTTTAGTTTGATCATTGCTTACTTATGAAAATGTCCCTTTTTAGCATGATTTCAATGTTTTATGCATGACTATCATTCTTCGTACATTTTTTTTGTACTAACGCATATTCTTCCACTTTCTTTTATAAAACTATTGGACTTGAAAATGATGTTTTACTTCTTATGTTCTATTTCTTATGTTATGAATGCTAAGTGGCTTGTATGGGGTCCCTCGGGGTCCTCTATGCCATGTTACATCTCGGGTGTTCCCCTAGGTCGTGACACATCTAGTACATCAGAATCAATTCAGGTGTAGCCTTTAGATCATGTTCCAAAACTGAAAGTAATGAAAGACTGAAAACAATAAATGTATGTCCTCGAAGCATGACGCATCACCTAAAGCTCGAAATCTCCTCAAAGAGTTGTAGCCACGAAACTCGGAATCCTGACTGTCAGACCCTACATATAGGGAAATGTAGACAAGAGTATGTGTTAGTACAAAAATGTACCAAGTATGATAGTCATGAATAAAAACATTTGAAATTAAGAAAAAAAGGGATACCTTCATAAGATGCAATGACCAAACGAAAACATGAGATAAAGAGTTAGAAAACATGAGTCATAAAACATGGTAAATGCACATAATCATCATCTTCAACATGTATGAGATACTTCCTTGAAGTAACCTTGGTTCATCATAACTTGTTTGTGGTATGTAATCTTAATCGACATGCAAGACCATGTGAGCTAGTAAGATGGAATCCGGTGTCTTTCACACCAAGAAGGGTTGTCCTACTTGCCAAGGTAAGGACCATGAAATTTTAGCTATTTTGGATCAACTAGCTAATGTCTATATAGACAATCCTATGTTGGCTCATAGTTTATGGTACACGGGTAATCTCCACTTGTCCACTCGGTGCTAAGATTAACTTTCGAAGAATAGTTCTTAATCATATTCATCTTAGCTCTTAAAGGAACATGGGTAATCGTCTCTTGTTCTTACATATGGAGACAGGGTAATCGCCTCTTGTCTTTCAATTAGGGAGAATGGGTAATAAACTTTTCCCTTAACAGTAGTGTAGCTTCTTAATATTTTGTTCATTTTAGGTGAAAATGCCTTTCAACCTTAAGAACCCTTTTTATTCGAGAAAACCTTTCACGTACATGCTTTTATGTTTATGAGAAATCCTTTCAACAACACAACAACGACATCAATATTGATACACTCTGAAAGAATCCTTAAAACATTTACATCAATTTCATAAGAGCATGCATAATTCCATAGTTCACCTTTCATAGTTCAAAACCTAGATGCAATCATCAATTTCTAGAAAACATGGATTAGACATGGGTTCTTGGGGGATCATCATAAAATCATGTAATTACATAAATTCATGCTTAATAGATCGTAAAACAATCAAATACATCAATATTTAAGAGAGCCCATGACATGAAAGAAAACCCTAACCCAATTCTAGAATTCTAACTTTGTAAATTGGAGAATTTGGAAACTCCATGGAGGAAAGGGATCCAGGAATAAAACCATCATACCTCAATGTCAATTGCTTAACCTCAATGGTGGAATAGGAGAATTGATTTGCAAACACTAGCTTGGATCCTTCTTCTTCAAGCTTTTTGGAGAGAAATATTTGAGAGAATGAATTGAATGGGTTAATTTTGGGATGAGAATCACTTGTATAAGGATTCTATGTAAGGGAAAAATGACATAGTATCAAGATAAAACAATTAGGAAAAAACCCAACTAACCTTGACTTACACGTGATGCGAACCCCCGGATGGAGGCCCACACGAGCCGTCAAGCACTTCACAGGCCATGGTGGCAATCGTGGTCCTTGACAAGTGGCCCGGGGGAAGGTTCCTTTTGGCGTTGCCCCTTCACGACCACTTTGACGAGCCGGTTTTGATGAGTCTGAGATTTGGACTCGTTTGGGGTTTGGTTTATATATATTTAGTGTCCTCAAATGCTTAATTTGTGCCATAAACTAATTTTAAATCTTTGATTTTCACGTATATGGATTGAGAAAAAAAGCAAGGACACTAACGGGCAAAAAAGAACAACACAAGCTTTAAAAACGGAGAAAAGAAAGTCTGACGATCACCAAGAGAACTCGGCGAATACCAGAGTTTCCCCTAGACTTCCTAAGTTTACAGGACATTGAGCCTGAAACGGGAAAAACTTAGGCGAACTATGTTCCCTAACGGTGAATTGCCAACTGCATCGACAAAGAAAGATTGTGCCACCTAACGCAAAGACTAAGATTAAATTGAATTAGCGATCTAAAGTAATAAAAGGTGCCTCACGGAAGTGATCGACAATCCTGATCTAGACTGCCTAAAGTTACAGTGTCTAAATGAGAAAAATGTGAAGAAGAAAAGGGCGATGGACAAGAATGATAGGCGAGTCGCCGACTGGTCGGCGAAGCCCAACTACCCTTGGTGATCAACCCCAAAATGCCATATCTCATATCACTATAAATTGACTTTTGTAAAAGAGAGAAGGCATCCAGTCATTGTGGAACGAAATAGAGAGAACAAAAACACTATTCTTGTTGATTTTAAGCAATTTTGGCATACCTCAGACTGTCTGCCCCGACCCGGATTTTCCCATTTAAAAACCCCCATTGATTTTTAACCACTCCCATTCCCTCCATTACTCCCAAAACCGTTTCTAACATTCCCTAACCCCC